TCTGTTAGTGATGCTGAGGTTAGAGCAGAAGGCAAAGTAGAGCCATTATTTGACCTTTCTAGCGCATACTTCTAATGCCACCAGAAATGAAACCACAGGCTTTACTCCATATGTGCTGATGGCTGGGCTTGAGCCATTGATGCTTACTGACCTATGCTTTGAAGTCTCTGAGGATGGAGAAGATACAATGATTCACAACCAGTATGTTATGCAACTGAGAGGGCAGATAAGGGAAACCTATTGCCTAGATATGACCTTAGCTCAGAAAAGCAGAGTGAAGAACACTCAGTAGTATGATTTGCTATTAAAACTCTGGTCATGAAATGGAGGCAAGAAATGCCTCAAAATCTTGGTTCCCTGAGAAAACTGATACCAGATGGCTGCAGAATCACCCTATACTGGGTAGAGGAAAGACAGGCAATCTGACAGTCTACAAAATAGTACCAGAGACTTACAAGGTGATCTAAAGATGATGCATCACAGCTGTCTGTTAGTCATAGGTGAGTTAGTCAGACTCCTTAGCAAACAGAACAGAAATCTGGGCAAGTCAAGGAATTAGGCCCAAAGTTGAATATGGACAGTTGACACCCATATGGAAAGGGACTGGATCAAATTCCAGAGGAAGAAGAAGCTATATGTTCTTGTGAGTGGCCAAGACTGCCCTCACCTGTGGGGGAACTGTACCTGGATAGGAGGTAGCTAAATCCAGAGGTTAGGCTGGGCACTCTTTCATGCTCAATATTGCAGCTGTGGAGCATTTAGGGGATACAGATAGTACTTTTTGGTCATGGCCATTAGTTAGGAAGCTGGATAGAACAAATATATCTGGAGTTAGAAAGACCTGAGTTAAAATCCAGCCACAGATACTTAATGGCTGTGTGACTCTGGGCAAATCACTTAACCTCCATCTGCCTCAGTTTCCTTGACTATACAATAGGATAATAACAGTACCTACCTTCCATGATTATTGTGAGGAAACAATGAGATAATATGTGTGAAGTGCTTATCATAATGTCTGCTAAATACTAGGTTTACTTAATAAATACTTGTTCCTTCTTCTTTTCTCATCAATAGGCCCAGAATTGACTGCAAGGTCCCAAACCTAAAGACAACTTTGTGCTTCTCTTTCCCTTCCTCATTTATTGCCCAAATGTTCAAATGTGACATTGGGTCACCATAGAAATGGCTGGATTATCTGACCAGTGACATATGATGTCTTGGATATGATGGGCAAGCAAGCCACTCATGAAGTCCAAAGATGCCTGCTGGAAGAAAGGCTACTTATTGCCTGGGGGTGGGGAATGCGTACAATTAATAGAGTTACATAAAACCTATTTTATGTAGCTGTACTCTTTATTCCTTCAAGGTACCTATCCTGATTAGAGGTAGCTACATGGCCCAGAGTACTGGCCCTGTAGTCAGGAAGAACTGGGTACAAACCAAGCCTTAGAAACTTACTAGCTGTGTAACCCTGGACAGTCACTTAACCTCTGTATGCCTTACTTTCCCATCGCTAAGATGGGGATGATAATAACAGCACCTACCTCACAGGGTTTGTTGTGAGAATAAAATGAGACATAATATTTATGTAGCACTTTGTAAACTTTAAAATGTTACATAAATGTTAGCTATATTATTCCACCCCCATCCCATCACTCTGTATTTATCCTGTATTGACTTATTTGTAAAAATGTGGAATCCTTCCAGTAGAATTTAAGTTCCTTGAGGAATAAGTCTTTCTCACTTTTGTATTATATCCCTAGAGCCTAGGGCAGTGCTTGACAGTAACAGGCACTTAGTAAATGCTTACTGATTGATTTGTTATTTGATTGATTAACATATACCTGTATATGACCTACTGCATTTGGTTCATTTGATAATACCCTATTATGTCTTTTGGATGATATGTAATATGTGACGGAAATGATGCACGTATGTACCCAATACAGTCTGCAGGGACTAAAGAGTCTTTAACTGAGGGAGAATAGAGTAAGCAAAATAACAAGAAGATGGTCTGTTAGACCCCATTTCTTCTTTCTTTACACCATTTGGTAAAGGATTGGGAGGGAAACAAGAGAGTTTATGCAGATACTGTAAGAAAAAAATTTCTGACAAATCTGAAGACTAAATATACATGGGAGAAACCATAAAACTGGTTGCTTGGAGAGCAGTAGTGGCAGGGAAACAGAAAGAAGGAAGATGAATTGCAGGTGAGAGTTTCCACATTATGTCATTGGCTTGGGGGTAGAGAAGGCTTACTAAGCGCCAGGAGCTACAGAAGTTGCCAGAGATGAGCGTAGAGGGACAGTAAATGGCAGCAACGGAGGAAGATGCAGAGGTGGTGGCAGCAGCTGGGGGACAGGGAGGCAGAAACTATACTCAATAGAAACAGCAACTGAAGTGCTGTTGGGGTTTCCCCAACACCTTTCCTATTGGTGTCATAAGTTTTGGGAGAACAAACAAAGAACTATTTTGGGGAAAGGTGGGAAATGAGAAATGGCCCTTACTTTGAGGTGAGAAGTATTAACTGTTCTCTTTCTGAAAGAGCTTGGAATACTAATCCCTTCTTTGTAGCTTATTGTCCTGAGTATTCTATAATTAAGTGTGGTTCAGAAGCCAATGTTTGCTTATAGGAAGGAAACTTAACTTACCCCAGAGAAGACAGAGAAAATAAGTCAGATTTAATTTTCCCAAAGAGATTCTGAAAGATGGCCCTAGTCAAGGGGAGTATTAATTGTTAGATAAGTCTTTGGGATTGACCTGGGTCCTTTTGAGTCAAGAGCTCAGATTCTGCCCATGGGTCATGGGTTACAAAGTGTTATGAATGAGTTATTATTCTTACCTTTTCCTTGTATATTTATAGATCTCATAGTTTCAAAGGTCTTATTTCATAATATTTAACTGCTTACTTACGATTCAAGTCTCCTCCTCCTCAGCATTCCTTTGCATCTGTCCTCTTCTCTCTACTCTCAACATCACAGTCCAGACCCTCATCAATTCCCTCTTGGACTATTGGAATAGCCTTGTAATTGACCTCCTTGCATTTAGCGTTTTCCCTCTCTAATCCATCCTTCATAAAACTGTCGAATTGATTTTCTTAAAGCTTGGGCCTGACCATATCACTCTTCTCTTCAAGAAGCATCAGTGGGTCCCATTGCCATTAGAATAAAATACCAACTCCTCTGTTTAGCATTTAAAGCCCTTTACAATCTGGCTCTAGCCTCTTTCCAGACTAATTACACATGACTTCCTCTCTTGGACACTGTGTTCTGTCCAAATTAGCCTTCTTGCTGTTCCACTTACCCTGACATTCCTTCTCTGATCTAAATATCTTTGCAAAGCTCCAGAATGCTCTCTCCTGATCTAGCTCCCTTCAAGGTTCAGCTCAAGTATTAAGTATTAAGAGGACTTTTCTGCTTTCTCTCTAGCCCTCAGTATCTTCCTTCCCTGGCTTCCTTTAAATCCCAACTAAAATCACATCTTTTACTGGATGCCATCTCTAATTCCTCTCAATTCTAGTACTTTCCCTTTGTTAATTATTTCTATTTAGCCTGTATACAGCTTGCTTTGTCTATTTGCATGTTTTCTTGTGTTCTCTCCTTTGTTAGATTTTAAGCTCCTCAAGGGCAGGGACCATCTTTTTGTATTTTTGCTTCTTTTTGTATTTCCAGAGCCTGGCACGGTAGGCACTTAATAAATGTTTATTGATTGATTGATTGTAACAAGGCAAGAATTAAAAAACAGAAGGGTGTTAAAGGTTATATATGTACCTGTGTGTAAAAGAGTGTCTGAAAAACATTGGAAGACTTATATGAACTAATGCAAAGTGAAGTGAGCAGAACCAGGAGAACATTGTACAGAGTAACATGATCAACTGTGAAGGACTTGGGTACTCTGATCAAAACAATGATCCAAGAAAATTCCAAAGGACTCATGATATAAAATGCTATCTATCTCCAGAGGGAGAACTGATGAATTCTGGGTACAGACTGAAGCATATTTTTTTCAGTTTCTTTGTTTCTGCTTATATTTTTTTATGTGACATGGCTAATATGGAAATCTGTTTTGAATGACTTCACATGTGTAATTAGTGATATTGCCTTCTCAGTGGGAGGGGGAGAAGAAGGAGGGAGGGAAGGAGAGAATTTGGAACTCAAAATTTTTTTTAAACGTTTAAAATAATTAGAAAGTCTAAGATGTGGTTAATAAGTTGTGACTAGTAAAAGAAGGGAACTGAAAGTGAGCACAGTGCCTGTCACATAAAAGGCATTTAATAAATGCTTATTGATTGATAGATTAATTCATTCTCTTGGAACTACTTCTCTGCCCCCCACCATCGTCTTGGTTTGTTAAAATCCTATCCATTCTTCATGGTCCTGCTCAAATTTCTCCTGATTCTCTCAGGTGGAAAATATTCTTTCTTCTTCTGAATATGTGTCCATCAGTCAATCAACAGGCGTTAAGTAAACCTTTATTGTGTGCCAGGCACTGTGCTATGCTATTAGGCTACAGATCGTGTCTTTCCTAGGTACTGAACAAATCCTATTTTGCATTGAGTTGTTTGGATAATTGCTTTGTCTTTAATTTCCTTAAGGACAGGGCCAATGCCTCACTTACCTTTTAATCTTCCTCGGTGCCTTGCATACAGTACACATTTAATATCTGCTCTGCTGAACTGCTGATGTTTACTGCCCTACTGTGTTCAAGATATCCTAATTCCATTCTCCTGGCACGCAGTGTGGAAGCTTTCGTTTGATTTGTCTGGCACATAGTAGGCGCTTAGGAAATGCTTGGGATTGTTTTTATGTTCCAGGGCACAATCATGATGATAATCCAATTGCATAAATTTGCCGTACTCCCACCCCCTTCACATGCACACAGTACTGCACAGGGTCTCTTCCAGGGACGTTATTTTTTAGAGTACGGTCACAAAAGCAAGGAATGGGCCATGCAGGCCCATTCCCCCCAAATGAGGAGGGGGTGTCACTTTTGCCGTCTGATCAAGAAAAGAAGCAAGAATAGGAGGCAGCTGAGGAGGAATCGCAAGGGGCCCGGGCCACAAGGGGAGGACGAGAAGGGGGGGAAGGGGGAGGAGATGAGAGATCAGAAAAAGAAGCCTGCTTTAGGGGGAGGGGGTCACGCAGAGCCAGCCAGAAGAGCCTAGAACGCTGGAGTGGCAGCCGGGTGGAGCAGCGCAGAGGGAGGGGCAGGCGGCGGGAGGAGGAGGACCGCGCTGGGGGCGCTGTCGGGTGGGAAAGGCAGAGCGGCTCGAGGGGGCTGGCACTCAGAAAGGTCTGGCTAGGAACTGCCTTTGGGTTGGTTTGAGCACAGAGGGGGTGTGTGTGTGGGGGTGTGTGTGTGTGTGTGTGTGTGTGTGTGTGTGTGTGTGTGTGTGTGTGTGTGTGTGTGTGTGTGTGTGTATGTGTGTGTATGTGGGGAAACCGAAAGCCTCTGTGGTTTTAAACCGCAAGCCTCTCGGCAAGAACGCACCCCGGCCTTTTTTCTTCCCCCTTCTCTCCCCGACGGGTGGGAAAGAGTTAAGCCTCCAGGGGGCGTGGCCAAGCACCCTTTGACGCGTGGAGGGCGGGGCTGAGGGCACCGGTTGGGGGAAGGGGGAGGAGGAGGAGGAGGGTTCCGGGGGCCGAGAGAGGGGGAGGCGAGGAGGGAGGAAAGGAAGGGGGCGTGGCCTGGGCATAGGGGGCGTGGCCGGGAGAAGTTGTTCCGCGCTGGGCGGGCCGGCGGCGGACCCGGGAGCTGGAGAAGTTTGCGCGGCTCGCTAGCGAGCGAGCGGAGGGGAGGGTGCGGGCCCCGGCGGCGGCTTCCCTGCGCCCGCTGTCATGGCTTTCCGCCGGAGGACGAAAAGTTACCCGCTCTTCAGCCAGGAGTTCGTCATCCACAACCATGCGGACATCGGCTTCTGCCTGGTGCTTTGCGTCCTCATCGGGCTTATGTTCGAGGTGAGGGGAGCGCCCGGGCGCTGGGGGGGCGGGGAGGGAGGGGCGGGCAGGCGCCACCCCCCCACCACCACTGGCAGCCCCTGCCCGGTCCGCGCGAGTTCTGTCTCCCCTCCCCCCTCCGGCCGCCCCCTCCCCCAGCGCCCGGGCGCCTCCAGATGTGGGCTCCTGTATCCACGTAATCCGCATCCTCCTCCTCCTTCTCTTGCTGCTGCTGCCGCTGCTGCTGCCCGGGCCCGGGCTCGCTCTCCGCTTTTGTGCACCCGCTCCCAAGGCTTCTCGATCCATCCAGGCTGCAGCCACCCCGCCCGCCCTCCCCCCCCGTGCGGGGCCCCGGGGGGCGCCTTGGGTCGCCCCCGCACCTGGCCCTGGCTCTGGGGCCGCCCGCGCTGCCCTAGTCTCCTGCAGTTGATGCTTAAGGTTTCCCTTCGAGTGTGTGTGGTTCTGACTCCTTCATGACCCTCCCAACTTGCGACCACAGCCTCTGGGTACATTATTGTGACTTCATCACTCTTTAAATTTTCTGTTACTTCCTTTTACACATCCTTAGAACGCCGACTCTCCTTTCCTTAGCCTAGGACTGGCCCGTGCTGGGCCAAGCGCTGCCTTAGAGCCCCTACACCCTGACGCCCTTTGGTGCAGCTGCATCAGCGCCTAGCACGGTGCCCGGCATGTAGAGCTTAACAAATCCTCCTTCCCTTCTTCCTTCCTTCCTTCCTCTCCACTTCCTTCCTCCCACTTTGCCTCCCTTCCTTCCTTCCCCTCCTTCCTTCTTCTCTCCCTTCTTTGCTCTCTTCTTTCCTTTCTCCCTCCCTCCCTGCTTTCCCCCTCCCTGCCTTACTCTCTTTTTTCCTTTTTTTCTTCCCTTCCTTCTTTCCTCTCTCTCCTTCCCTCCCTCCCTCCCTTCCTCTAGCCAGAATGACTTCTCAACCATTTACTTCCCTACCTGGATATGGGGACTGAAAGGTCAATGAGCCCTGCCAGTAAGGCTGTTTTGCTAGCCTGTGTGCTAACTCTTTTAGCACCTGGGTGGGTGGGTGGGGGGAGTACTTAAGAGCCTTAACTCTTCTCTTCCAGAATGGAAGGGAATGATTTACCTTGTTTTCTGGGAAAAGGTGGCACCCGAGCAAATAGGATGAGATCAGAGGTCACAGGGTAGCTATAGTCTGAGTTAGGCTGCCCCCTCCCCACATTCAGAAATAACGTAAAGGGCAAAAATCAAAGGCATCAGACATTGCCCTCTTGGGAGTGCGAAAAGGGAGGTACTGTTGGGAAGTTGGGTGAAATGGAGAAGAGATTGAGTAAGATGCTTGGCACTGCCTCTAATCATAATCCTGAGATTTTCTTTAGTAGGGTTATGGGTGGGACAGGACTCAGTTGTCTCCCTTCTGGGTATGGGCACTGGGTGGAGTTGCTTGTCCTGAGTCTGCATTTGGGGGATCGGTTTGGGCACTTGCAACTATCCAGGTAAACCTATGTGAAAAATGTTTCCCTGTCTCTGGAGTGGGGGCAATCCTATTCCAACTAACCCTCTCTCCCTTTTCCTCCTTAATTTTCTAGTTTCCCATTATGTCTTGGTGGGATTCTACTTCCTGGGTCAATATTGGTATTCTTCTGGCAA